TCTCTCTCTCTCTCTCTCTCTCTCTCTCTCTCTACTCTTCTCTCTCGCTCGCTTTCTCTCTCTCTCTCTCTCTCTCTCTCTCTCTCTCTCTCTCTCTCTCTCTCTCTCTCTCTCTCTCTCTCTCTCCTCTTCTCTTCCCTTCTCTTTTTTTCTCTTCTCTTCTCTCTCGTTCGCTTTCTCTCTCTGTCTCTCTCTCTCTCTCTCTCTCTCTCTCTCTCTCTCTCTCTCTCTCTCTCTCTCTCTCTCTCTCTCTCTCTCTCTCTCTCTCCCTCTCTCCTCTACTTTTCTCTTCTCTTCTCTTCTCTCTCGCTCGCTTGCGCTCTCTCTCTCTCTCTCTCTCTCTCTCTCTCTCTCTCTCTCTCTCTCTCTCTCTCTCTCTCTCTCTCTCTCTCCCTCTCTCTCTCCCTCTCTCTCCCTCTCTCTCTCCCTCTCTCTCCCTCTCTCTCCCTCTCTCTCTCCCTCTTTCTCCCTCTCCCTCTCCCTCTCTCTCTCCCTCTCTCTCTCCCTCTCTCTCTCCCTCTCTCTCTCCCTCTCTCTCTCCCTCTCTCTCTCCCTCTCTCTCTCCCTCTCTCTCTTCCTCCCTCCCTCCCTCCTACTCTCTCTCTCTCTCTCTCTCTCTCTCTCTCTCTCTCTCTCTCTCTCTCTCTCTCTCTCTCTCTCTCTCTCTCTCTCTCTTTTCTCACCCAGGCGAGAAGTCGTTAAGCCAAGTCATTAAAACCTATTATTACAAGTCATAGTTCAGCTAGATTCGGGTCGGCGCTTATTGGCGGCAGGTGGGAGGGAGGAGGGACGAGGGGGGTGGAGGGAGGGGCAATGGGAGGGGGGAGGAGGAGCAAGGGGAAGGTGGGGGGGGAGAGGAGGAGCGAGGGGCAAAGGGAGGGGATATCAGAAGGGGGGAGGAGGAGCAAGGGGGAAGGTGGGAGGGAGGAGTAGTGAGGGGAGGGGGGAAGGGAGAGGGAGAGGTTGCATTTCCCCCTTCTCCCGCCCCCTTCCCTCCCCCTTTCCATGAACTCCGCCCTCACACTCTTCTCTCTTGACACCCTCCTACCCCTCCCCTCCTCCTCCTCTCTCCTCCCCTCTCCTCTAATCCACGCTTTTCTCGTCCAGGAATATTTAGAATAAATAAGACGGTTAACTTCAAATAATGAGAGGTGAGTGATACGATGAGAAAGGACAAGACTAAAATAACGTAAATAAAATCGAGCGAAAAGATGAAAGGAGACAAAGAGGGAAGAAACAACTCTTGAAAAAAAAATAATGAATATATGTGAGATAACAGGAGAAGGGAAAAAATAGCAGATAATGATAATTTTATACGAATTAAAGATAAAAACGAAAAAAAATACGAAAGGTGAAGAAGAAGCAAAGAAAAAATAAGATGCTGACAACAACACCAATAATAACATTGTTAGTCAAGAAAAATAATGACGTCATGAACAAGACAGTCGAACTTATCAGCTTTGATAAAAACAAATGATAATACTTACCTAAACACTAATACCGCAAAGGCTAAACAATAATAAAGGTTATGCTACTGACGATGACGTCGACGAGAGCAACATAATGACGGTAATGAGCGAGGTTGCTGCGCCGTCGATCACGAGGGCCGTCAGTCAGGGACCTCCAAGACGGGCGCGAGGAGGCGGGCAGAGGGCGCTGCGATCACACACACGGGGGAGGTCGGGGAGCCGGCAAACCACGATGTTATCTTAACTAACCCGTCTCTTTCTTCACGCCACAACGCCCCCTGTTACCCCTTCCCTCTGCACCTGGCGCGCTCTGCTGCCCCCTGCGCCAGCCCCCTTGCCCTTTGTGTCTGCCCCTGCGCTCTGTTCATGCCTCTGCCCTCTGTTCCTGCCCCTGCGCTCTGTTCATGCCTCTGCCCTCAGTTCCTGCCCCTGCGCTCTGTTCATGCCTCTGCCCTCTGTTCCTGCCACTGCGCTCTGTTCATGCCTCTGCCCTCTGTTCCTGCCCCTGCGCTCTGTTCCTGCCCCTGTACCTTGTATAAGCCCTTGCTCCTTGTACCTGCCCCTGCCCCCTTCTTGTCACTTGTATCCCCTGACTCCTACCCCTGTTCATCAGTGCATCCCTGGCTCAGGTCCCTTGTTGTTATTGTACCCTGTATATCTGCCCCTCGTCTCTTGTTCTGCTCTCTATTATCCCCTGTCCCTCGACCCTTGTCTCTTCCGTCCCCTGATTTATGCCCTTACTAACGCGTCCCAGTCCCATGTCTTGTTTGTTTCCTTTCCCTACTAAACCCTTCAGCACTTCAGCCCCTTGTCTCTTGCATTCCCTTACACTCCTGCCCCTTGTCCCTACCGCATTTCCTTCCCTATCCCTTGAATCTCTGTCCCTTTTTCCTTGTCTCTATTGCCCTATGCACCTCAACCCCTATGTCATTTCTACCTGCTACCTTCTCCTCCCTGTTCTCTGGTCCCTGCTTTCTGCTGTCTTCCCAATCCCCTCCTCCCGTTCCTACTCTACACCTCTCTCCCTGAAAACCCATGTCCTGGTCTCGACGACACTTAGTCCTCCTTGTCCACCTATACCCATGTCCCTTGTCCCTGTCTCTCTGCGCTTCGTCGCCCATCCAGCTTCCTTGCATGACCTACGCTCCGCCCATTCGCCTGTTTTGTTTGTCTTTCTGTCTGTCTCTCTTGTTGTCCACTTGGCTATCTGCGGCAATGTTTTCGTTGGCTGGTTTGGTATGGATCTCTCTCTCTCTCTCTGTGTCTCTCTCTCTCTCTCTCTCTCTCTCTCTCTCTCTCTCTCTCTCTCTCTCTCTCTCTCTCTCTCTATATATATATATATATATATATATATATATGTATATATATATATACATATACATATATACATATATATATGTGTGTTTGTGTGTGTGTAGTTATTTATCTATCTCCATCTCTATTTACTTGTAATTATATGTCTATCTATCTATATATCTCTTTCTCTCTTCTTTCTTCTTCTCTCTTCTCTCTCTCTCTCTTTCTTCTTCTTCTTCTCTCTTGTTAAGCGTCATATGACTGACAGGCACGCATGAGGCCTTGTCTAGCCAAGTCCTCTACTTTTCCCGCGCCGGCCCCTTCCTCATGTTCATAATAATTTTGGAGTTGATAGCTTGAAAACCTCACTATATGGCCGGCTCACATCCATTAAATTCCCTGATAGCAATCAACAATCATCGTTTGCGGTCAAGGAATCCCCGAGGTAGGCTAGTCCGAGTCGGCGCCCCGTTCTCGTAAACCCAACATGGACTTTGAGTACCTAGTGACGTCATCTATATGCCTGCCAATCACGCGTGGAGTTTTCATTCTGTGTGTGTTTTATTCGAAGCTAATTGGCTGCATTTCACGTGACGTCATTCTAATAGCAACTAATCACAAGTAGGCTTTAATTTTCGAGGTGTTCCTTTGGTAAGTGATTGGTTGTGGATTAATTCAAAGGCGCTGTTCCCCGCAAGTCTGGCGCTCAAGCTACCATTACAGACAGTTCGTTGAGCAAGTGCTGTTATCAATGCCATGCCCAAATTAAAAAAGGAATTATATTGCAACTTTCACTTGTGGATGTCTTTGTTTATACACCCACACACTTACATAGATAGATAGATGGATGATAGATAGATACATAGATGGACAAATACATAGATAGATAGTTAGATAGATAAGCGCGTACGTTTTTTTGTGTAAATTAAACAGCGGTTAGTTAAATTCATGTGTCAGTAAAGGACGAAAGGTGAAATATGTTTTAAAAATATGTGTTTTGCAAAACCATTGGAATTATCGTCCATATGATGAAAAAACAACAACAACGAACCAATAATGAGGATGATACTTTTACTGCTATTACTATTACTACTAGTAATATAGACAGTGATAATAGCAGTAATAATGACTATAATATTAATAGTAATAATAATAATAATGACAATGATAATGATAATAACGATGATGATGATGATTATAATAATAATAAAAGTAATAATAATAATAATAATAATAATAATAATAATAATAATAATAATATAATAATAATAATAATATAATAATAATAATAATAATAATAATAATAATAATAATAATAATATAATAATAATAATAATAATAATAATAACAGTAGCAATGATAAATAATGATAGTAATGACAACAATGATAATAAAAATACTAACAACAACAATTACAACAAATACAAAAAAATACAAAAAAGTATGAATTGATCACAGAACGACCCACAAATATCACTAAACAATGAAAACCTAATTGCAAGCAGCACTCAAGGGCCGCCGATCAAGCCATATTCTTAGAGACCGCGGGGTTAATGCAGTTTTCTTTGCCAAAGGCGGAGCTCAGCGGATCTCTGTAAGCTCTTAGCATGCCAAAACGACCGAAGGCGATACATCAGGACTCAAGTACTCGAAGATCCGGGTCGTTAAAAGCTACGACAGTCGTTCGGAGAAACTTTTTTTTATTTTTTTATTAAAGCCGGGGTTTAAAGTGGAAACCATCGATAAATTCCGCGGTGAAATTTTCCCGCCATTTTTTTTTTCTTCTTTTTTTTTTTCTTTTTCTTCTTCGTGAGTCTTTGTTGGATTCCCGGCGATGGCAACACTGTTTTCCGGAATGTTTGAGGAACCACTTTTCTGCCGCCTGTTGATAAGTGCTCGAGGCAAGTATGATAACATAGGTACAGCGACTGCTTATATTTGTATGTACAATATGATATCTGTACATTCGCACGCACACACGAATACTATACTATACTACGTTTGTAAATACATATATATATAGAGATAGGTACACATATTTATATATATGTGTGTGTGCGCATGTGTGTGTGTGCATTATATTTAAATATACATAAACGCATGCATACATATATTCATACATAAATGCGTACATACATACATACAAACATACATAAATACATACATACATGTGTGTGTGTGTGTGTGTATGTGCGTGAACGAACAAAGCGGCACTACAGCTCACTGGCTCCCTACCGACGCAGGAGCGGCCGTCGGTGGCGAGCGTGAAGCCCTCTCTGCAGCCGCAGGCGAAGGAGCCGATGGTGTTCCTGCAGGAGTGCTGGCAGCCGCCGTTGCGATCCGCGCACTCGTCGACGTCCTGGCAGTTGTGCGGGTCGAGCGGGTCGGGCGCGAAGCCCCCGTGGCACGAGCAGCTGTAGTTGCCCGGCGAGTTGGCGCACACGTGCACGCAGCCGCCGTTCCGCAGGCGGCACTCGTCCACGTCTGGCGGGCGAGATCGGAAAGGTAAGGCTACCACGACTACCGGGCATGACTGTGGTAATAATCTTGATAATTAGATGATTCTGACAAAATTATCAATAAAGAGGTTCATACTGTAAATGATAATGATAGTAATATCAATAGCAATACTGATGATAAAAGAAGCATTCTTCGTTACTGCTGACGTTTTGACGATAGTTACAAAGGTAATAGTGATGGTAACTGTGATAATGATAAGCAATATGTCATTCTTAGCGGAGTGAGGTTATGAGTGCAAAATACAGATACTGAACCACAGAACCACACTGCTTCTCGTAAACCGCAGCAGCTACGTACCTGCGCATGCGCGGCCGTTTCCTTCCCAGCCCTTCTTGCAGGAGCACCTGTGGAGGCGTTTGAAGCTCTTGCACACCGCGTTTCTGTCGCACTTGTGGCGCCCTGTCTTGCACGCGT